AGAAGTAATTATGATTACTGTTTGTATGTTAAAAAAGCAAGCAAAGATCCAATATACATATTAATATTTGTTGATGATTTTTTAATATGTTGTAAAGATAAAAATAAAATAAAAGAGGTGAAAACAAGTTTAATGAAAAGATTTGCAATGAAAGACTTGGGGAAAATTAAAAGCTATATTGGCATAGATATTGAGTATAATGATGATAAAAATGTGATGACATTAAGTCAAACAAAGTATATTGAATCTTTGGCTGCAAAGTATAATTTGGTAAATACTAAGTTATATGATACTCCTATGGAAACAAATTTAAAATTAGAGCAAGCTAGTGAGGTCGATGAAAGTATTAAGTACAGAAATATAATAGGTGAATTATTGTATATTAGTACAGGCACAAGACCAGATGTAGCGTACAGCGTTAATTATTTGAGTAGATATCAAAGTTGTTATAACCGAACACATTACAAATATGCAATGAGAGTGTTAAAATATTTGTATAAAACTAAGAATCTAAAGTTAACATATTATGATAATGCAGATGCTGATATTTTAGACTGTATGGTTGATTCAGACTATGCAGGGGATAATGTGGATAGGAAGTCTACAACAGGTTTTATTATAAGATTTTTTGGAAATTTAATATTTTGGAAAACACGTAAACAAAATACAGTAACTAAATGTTCAACTTTTGCAGAGTATATTGCATTGTCAGAGGCAGTAACTGAAGTACTTTTTATAAGAAATTTGTTAAGTGAGTCATTTGATATAAACTTTTGTTATCCAATAAAATTGTATGAAGATAACTCAGGTGCAATTGCAATAGCTAAGTATGGTAACTTTACTAAAAATTCAAAGCACATTGAAGTGCAATATCATTATATAAACGAGAATTATGAAAACAAACTTATTGATATAATTAAAATTGATACAAAATGTAACTTAGCAGATATATTGACTAAGAGTCTAGATAAAACAAAATTTTTGAAAAACAGGTTTGAATTAAGATTAATTTAGTTAAGAGTTCAGATTATTACTTTAAAGTACTGTTTAAGTAAAATATTAAAACTGTAATAACTTTAAAATACTGTTCATGTAAGATAGAATGTTAAGATTATAAATTTAAGGAGGTGTGTTGTAATAAGGTAAATATTATAATCTTAAGTTAAATAATATAAGTAGCGCCATCTAGTGTCAAGTTGGCTAGTTTCTCATAGACGTCGATATGTCATCTGTGTTCTTCCCTTTTGTCGTCTGCATGGCGCCCATCATGTGCTTTCTGTGTGATTTATAATAAAACTACGAAATGTAACAAGCCATTATCTATTATTCAACCACATCCACCACTTCAACAGTTTTTATTACTCAAAACTTACGTGATCGGGCCGGGACTGGTAAGAACCCTGCGGGATTCTTAATTTATTGAAATTACGATATATCATTTCACAATAGGTAAATCTTAATTGGGCACTGAATTGATTCTGGTTAATTCTGTTAGAAGTCATTAATCTACGCGGACGAAGTCGCGGGCAACAGCTAGTTAGGTAATAAAATAAAAGTTTTTAACAGATGTTTTGTACTTCATCTGCATTCGGTGCGGAAAGTTAGTTTATTCTTATTCAGTGAAGAACCCCTGTATTTTTAAGTTAAAACTTTCGTGAGACATTTAATTTATTATTATGTATATCGGCTTACTCACTCACACGATAACGGCCGACACGTCGCGAAGACCGCCGCGATGCAACCTGTTGCATCGCGGCCGTCATCGTGTGTGCTGCCAGATGCCTCTCGTGATAATGAGCCCCTAGTGTTGGCTTGAAACTAGTCGAGATCCTCGTCAAATTAAAACGTGAGTAATACATAATAATAAACCCCTGTATTGTGATACAAAAATCTAATTTTTGTACTTGGCTGTAGTTGTAGGCACAGATGTTCTATACTTCGGCTGCACTACATTAAATTGGTCTCAGCAGCATTAAATTGGTATCTATGCAGCATTTGACAGTCATGGCGGCTTTGTTTTTATTCTGCCCAGGGCATGAGTCTGAATAATGAATTAAATTTGTTACACACGCACGGGAATCAACTTCAGCAATATATTTTTGTAAGATGGTACTTATTTCATTCCCTCCTCTTTTGCCCTCTGTTTCGCCCCATGTGTAACAGAATCCATTTCTGGTAACACTTTTGTAAAAACAAAGATTGTACACTGCATATTTTCTAGTATAAAATAACAGCATACTCTCCCCATGTGGGGTGTTCAGTACCTTTTGTAGATCAAAAGAAGTACAAAGCATTGCGTTATTTTTCTTGCTTAGTTCACAGTGAAAAGATAATCTATCTTTTGATGCCTTTTTTTCCTTTAAATGATTTAATATTTCATTAACATTACATTATCAATATAAAATGTTCTTAAATCGATTTTAATTTAATTTCAGCAATTATGGAATCACAACGCCGGTTGTATTTTAAGAAACAGATAGTGAAAGAGTTATCTCGGCAGAGGACTGAAGTACCTAAAACTGGCGAAAATGAAAATAATGAAGCTGATGAAGATTGTGATGTCACACTATTAGGAAGTCAATCCTACTATGACCAAATCCAAAAAATTTCATGTGTGAAAACGATTCCTTCAAACCCAGATAACAGCAATATGGAATAAAAAAATTATTATTAAAAAAACAAAATACCCGACTGCACACTAAAAAAAGAGTAAAACAAGCCCCACAATAATATTGATCAATCAAATGCTAAAAACTAATTATGTAATACCGTTTAAACAATACCTATATTAAAATACACTACAATATGTGTTCGTAATCGATAGTTAAATAAACAGAAACTTATTTTGAATACAAATTTACTGAATATAATTTATAAATGTTGATGGAATGCATCGCAGGCGGGGACTAACAGAGGCTTATTTATAGTCATTTCGGTTGTGCACCATTTAGCAGAATTTTCGTTGGTGGCGGTCAAGGTGGTCCCCGCCTGCGATGCTTTCCATCAACATTTATAAATTATATTCAGTAAATTTGTATTCAAAATAAGTTTCTGTTTATTTAACTATCGATTACGAACACATATTGTAGTGTATTTTAATATAGGTATTGTTTAAACGGTATTACATAATTAGTTTTTAGCATTTGATTGATCAATATTATTGTGGGGCTTGTTTTACTCTTTTTTTAGTGTGCAGTCGGGTATTTTGTTTTTTTAATAATAATTTTTTTATTTATAACTTTTTAGCTGTTTTTATTTCGATATATACAAATAGGGATATATCGAATAAAATCGCTATTTAGAGACGACCGTCAACGACGTGTGCCCTCATGCGTGTGCCCGCAATCGGGCTGTATACTCGAGCATATCCCCCTCCGCACCGCGCCGCGCGCCGCATGCCAGGCCACGCCCTATCTTTTTGCTTGCTAACGCATGAGTTGCTTTGCGTTGACGCAGAATTAACATGTTCCCGTGGGAATTTTGAGAAAAAACGTATCCTATATTAATTACTCCCGTGATTGAAATGAATCTAATGATACCGCATACATATTTTTTTAAAGGGAAATTTAGAAAAAATATTATTATGTCTTTATCCCGTGGGACTTTTAGGATAAAATGTATCCTATGACACTCCCGTAATCAAGACAAATCTAACGATACCTCATACATCAAAATTCATCAAGCCGTTTAGGCTACAGGTGGTCACAAAGGAAAAGACATACATACATACTTACATACACTCGAAAAACATTACCCTCCTTCTTTGGCAGTCGGGTAAAAAGAGTCACAGGTAAATAAAGCTTTAAAGCCATAATTATTATTAATTTTATTATTCTATCGTAAGTTCTCGTTGATTTAAGCTTTTTTTTCTTTTAGGATGACAGTACCACCAAAGCTCTATTAGAAGATATTACTAACAAATACATAACCAAAGAAAAATAGTTATACAGAAAATATCGAACATATACAAGTAGACATTGAATTGGAATCGGTATGTTTATTTACTATACTATGTAATTATTATACTAGCTTTTACCTACGACTTCATCCGTGTGAAAATAGCATTTCTGATTTATTTTATTTTTTTAGACTGAGAATACTGAAGGAGTGTGGTATGATATGTGATATGATATGTGATATATTTCCACAAAAAGATTTCCACATGGGGAGAGTTTGCTGTTATTTTATACTAGAAAATATGCAGTGTACAATCTTTGTTTTTACAAAAGTGGTACCAGAAATGGATTCTGTTACACATGGGGCGAAACAGAGGGCAAAAGAGGAGGGAATGAAATAAGTACCATCTTACAAAAATATATTGCTGAAGTTGATTCCCGTGCGTGTGTAACAAATTTAATTCTTTATTCAGACTCATGCCCTGGGCAGAATAAATACAAAATCGTTTTAACCGCCATACATAGCGCACTGCTTGAAACAAAACACATCGAAACCATACAAATGAATTATCTGCTTCCAAGGGCATACCGAAATGACTGTCGATAGCATCCATGCCACAATTGAAAATTCTGTTAGAAATACTATAATATGGGCACCATCTCAGTGGTCAACTGTTTTTCAGTTGGCTCGTAAAGAGCCCGGCCCATATCACATAGAAACTCTTACGCACAACGATTTCTTGAATTACGAAGAGTTTTCAGAAAAGTATTTTAAAGGCAATTTAAGCGGAAAGATTAGTAAGATTCGGGTGGCGACATTTAAAAAGTCGTCACCCAATGTCATGACTGTCAAATACAGCATGGATAAAGATGCTGAGACCGATTCTATAGCCATAATTTCAAGACCAAAGGTAGTGCTGCCGAAGTATAAGACATCTGTGCCTATAACTACCGCCAAATACAAAGATCTTAAGAAGCTGTGTGATACAGGGGTTATTCCCAAAATCTTTCACCTAGAATACACTAACTTTCCGCACCGCGTTTGTAAAGATGTTCTGATAGACACAGATATTAAAGATGAGATAGAAGCATAAGGTTCTTTGTCATCGCCAACATTTTTTTTTTTTATAAAGAATGTTACATAAGGTACCTGGGTCGAATATGGCCAGCCGAAAAATATGGCCACATGCCATTATTTCAAATACGAAATATTATAATAACCTGAACGCGACCATAAATTGTCGCTAGTGTAGCGTGTATCCGAACGGCGTACCTGTCACTCCTCCCGCGCGCCCGCTAGTCTCCCAGTGTTTATTAAATAGGCGGGTCTACAGAGCGAGCCGCCTCGCGCGGCAAATGCCTCGCGTGATGACGTGCCTCGACCGAGGAAAGCGGGTGTACTGCCGCGGGCGAGCGACCGAGCGGCCGAGCCACCGAGTGTCGGCTTTTTGTTTTGCTCAAAGGCGCCTCAGTCGTTTGCCGCGCGCACTCTGGACGCACGCGTATTCTGTTTCGTGCCTCGCTCGAGCATAATAATTATGGATAAAGAATTTTGTTTGAAATTAATATCTCTCTATGGTGTAAACACCTGGCTATGGAATGCAAGTGATCCTAATTATACAAATAGAGGGCTTAGAGAAGATGCCTGGTTAAATATTAGCCGCGAGATGAATATAGCCGGTTCCTGGTTTAAAAAAGAAGATGGAGTCATTGATGGGATCCTACCGGCGGGAAAAATCACGAGAAAAAAAAAGTCGTTTGACAGGATCAGGTATACATTTATTAATTGCTTTCACATTTACTACCTACTAAGAACAATTATCTACTATTATAAAACTTGTCACTTTTATCTTCCAGGTCGTGATGACGTTTATAAATCCAGCTGGTTTGCATATAATGCCTTTGCATTTATGTCTGATAGGAACGAGCCAGGTACCACGCGGGATACTATAGACAATGTAAGTACATACATACAATATTTCTTACTGATAGTTATCTTGCCATGAGACGGTTCCATTCGTAATAAAATGTCTTGCTAGGTGGTCTCGTATCTCTTTAGCATTATTTGATCCCCGTCGTGGTATTTGTTGAATTGGTAATAATGATGTTGGTTCTGATTCATTTCGCCAACTTCCTTCTACCATTTCCCCGTCATTTTCCACCGCATCAAACAAGCCAGAAACTTCAAAGTTATTAGAAGATGTTCTCCGTAAATAGTTATACAAATGAACTGATGCTAAGACCACTTTTGTTGCTTGTTCCGGTTCCAATAACATTGGTTTACGCAAAACTCTATAAACAGAACTTAACACCCCGAAAGCGTTTTCTACAACTCTTCGTGCTCTGGAGAGTCTATAATTAAAAATTCTTTCCTTTGAACCTCTTTCTGGATTGCCCTCGTAAGGTCTCATTGTGTATTCATTCAGCTGAAAAGCTTTGTCACCTAGTATATAAAATGGTACTTTGGTAGAGTACGGTATTTGCAAAATTGTGGGTGATGGGATGTTGAGCTCTCTTTTTTCAAGTTTTTGGTATAATATTGTATTTTTAAATACACCCCCATCAGAAATTCGTCCTTTACTCCCAACATTTACATATAAAAACTTGTAATTTTCATCTACCAAGGCGAACAAAACTATACTTGAAAATGATTTGTAATTATCGTAGTCATTACCACTGTTTATGGGAGACTGTAAAACAACATGCTTGCCATCCATCGCTGCTACAGCATGTGGGAAATTCCATTTATTAAGGAAACCATTTGAAATTGCGAGCCACTCTTTTTCTGTAGCTGGCACCTAAAATTGATATAAAGTGTATTATATTATTTACAGAAAGAAACCGATACTAACGACGAAACAGTAAGCGCAACTCAACTCGCTCAAGACCCTTCACCTAATAAGGACAATATTCAAGTTATAGAAAATCAGCAACTACAACAAGATGACACCAATAACACACAATCTAGAGTTAGAACACAGGACCAGAGATCCAGAAAACGAAGCAAAAAAAAGACCAGCGAAAGACACAGAAGATTCATCGGACCAAACTCTTTCCGAGGCTTTCAGGATTCTCCAGCAGTGCGCTGAACCACAGCCGCCATGTGACTCATATTCGGCATTTGGACAATACATAGCCAACGAATTGAGAAAATATGATCCAGTGACTCTGGCACATGTTAAAAAAGATATATGCGGAATAATATTTCAAGCCGACACAGGAGCTTATCAACAATATGGCTATTATACACAGAGCTATGTTTCATCCTACACCGATCCGACTTCTCCTTTAACGTTACCTCCTCAACCACCTATTAGCCCACGTCCTAGCACTCACACTTCATCTTACACCGATCCGACGTCTCCCTCACCGTTACCTCCTCAACCACCTATTAGCCCACTTCCTAGCACTCACACTTCATCTTACACCGATCCGACGTCTCCCTCACCGTTACCTCCTCAACCACCTATTAGCCCACTTCCTAGCATTCACACTTCATCTTACACCGATCCGACGTCTCCCTCACCGTTACCTCCTCAACCACCTATTAGCCCACTTCCTAGCATTCACACTTCATCTTACACCGATCCGACGTCTCCCTCACCGTTACCTCCTCAACCACCTATTAGCCCACTTCCTAGCACTCACACTTCATCTTACACCGATCCGACGTCTCCCTCACCGTTACCTCCTCAACCACCTATTAGCCCACTTCCTAGCATTCACACTTCATCTTACACCGATCCGATGCCACCCTCACCACTACCTTCTCAACCATCAAGTACCCCCTTTCCTATGACTTCTCCAATTCAATCAAAGATTCCACTTCCCCCTTCTCCTACGAAGACTCCTCAAAATCCATCAGAGATTCCTCCTCTCCCTCTGGCTCCTAAATATACTAAAACATAATGCGAGCGACACGTTAAAATTAATTTCACTTTTCTTTAGTTTTCTTTTTTGTTAGGTATTTGTGTTCAGTTAATGTAAAGGTTACAATTAAAGTGATTGGACTATATGTATAAGATATTGTTTTCAATGTTGCCATGCAATCATACCACCGTTAGAACAAAAATATTCAGCGAACTCTTCTCTCACTAGTTCAGCTGGAGTTGGTATGCTGTAGAATAGTACAGATGACTGAATTTCTGGCGGCTGTGTTATTTCGGAATCTGCACTCTGATTTATGTTACTTGAATAACGCAACTGTAAAGACCTATAACTCTCACAATTTCTTCTTAAATAGTTGTGAAGATAAGTCGTAGCTAACACTATGTTTTCCACATTTTTCGGCTGAAGATGAAAAGGCCTTCGAAGACAGCGAAATACTGCACTTAAAATGCCGAACGTGCTTTCTACCATACGGCGAGCCCTACTCAACCTATAATTAAAAATTCACCTTTGATCCTTTTCGCCCTAATTCGGGAAACGGCTTCATTAAATTTTCAGAAAGAGGAAAGGCATTGTCACCTATAAAAACATATGGTGTAAGACAACTTCTTCCAGGCAATTCACTTTCTTTTGGGATTCCTCATAGATTCATGGAATTCAAAATAGTATTACCAAACACACCACCGTCAGAAATACGACCTTGGCATCCAATATCGCAGTACATAAAATTGTAATTCGCATCCACTACAGCCATTAGGACAATACTGTGAACTCCCTTGTAG